CTTCTTCAAATAATTTCTCTTCTCTTCTCCCTCTGGGAATCCCACAATGCGTAGTTGATCCACTTGCTAGTATCCTACAGGTTCCATAGGCTCTGTTCACTTTTCTTCAGTCTTTTTCTCTGTGTTCTTCAGACTTGATCACTTCAATTGTCCTATCTTCAGTTTTGCTGATACTTGTCTGTTCAAATCTGCTTCGGAATCCCTCTAATGAATTTTTTCATTTTAGTAATTGTGCTTTTCAGCTCCAGAATTTGTTTTATTTTCAGGTTTTCTGTCTCTTTATTGATATTTCCATTCGGTTCTTACAGTGTTTTCTTGACTTTCTCCACATCTTCCTTTAGCCCTTTAAATAAGCTATTTTAAAGTCTTTGCCAAGTAAGTTCACTATGTATCTGGCCTTTCTCAGGGACGTCTTCTATTGATTTTGTCCCCCGTTGAATGGGCCATACTTTCCTGTTTCTTGGTATGCCTTGTGATTTTTGTTGAAAACAAGACATTTAAATCCTATAATGTGGCAACTCTGGAAGTCAGAGTCTCCTTTTTGTTTGTATTTTTGTTTTTTAAAATTGATGTAGGGTGTTTCCATGCTAGGGATCAGCCAGTGTAAACTTAAGGTCTTCTCAGGTGTTTTCTGTGCCTGTGCCTTTCTATGAGTATGCACAGTAACTTTCTAAACTCCCCCATCTTTGCAGTTGCTTTTGAATATCCTAGTCCTAAAATGCCTGGCTCTCAAAAGGCGAAAAAGGGAGAAATTAAGGGGGGCAGGGAATAGGCTTTGGCTCCTTAAATCCCCTAAAAGCCACTTCAGCCAGTGGGGGTTGAAACAACAGTGAATCACCTCTGTAATCAGAAATAGCTATCAGTGATCAGAACACAGATTCTCAATATTTGCAGTAAAGGGTCCTTATTGTCCACCCTGTCTCCCACAAGCCATGTGCAAGCTGCTCCAGGAACACATGCATGTCTGCCTGCCATAGGGCTGACAGGGTCAGGGATAAGTAGCTGCTAATGTACTAAGACCTGAAATTAACTGTGATTTACCTTTCTGTATTCCCCTGGAAGCTGCAAGCCTTCAACTAGACTCCAGAGTTCCAAAATAGGTACACCTAACAGGATCTGCCAGTACAATTGTTGTCTAGATGGGGAGAAAGATTCCTGGATCTTACTATTCCCTTATTCTGATGTTACTCTCAACCAGTAGAAGTTTTGAAGCTCAACAAAGGCATGTTGACTCTATCTTGTACTGTAGACTTGTGTGTTGTTTAGAAAGTTGAGGAGAGAGCAATGCCGAGGGAAGGCACAGGTAAAATGATTCACACCTCTAGAATTGAAGTTGGACTCTGATAGGTATAGTAAGGGAGTCAGGGCAAGAAAAGGGATGTGTCCATCCTGTGACAGCCAGTATGGAGACAGGAAACACTCACCATTCCCCTGGCTCTCCGGGACCCTGTGGCCTTTCTTTCCTGGTCTCCCTAAAAGAAGGATGATATCTCAGAAGGTAGATCTGGGTAAGGAAAACAGAAATGAGAGGGTGTCAGGTAGAAATGCTCTCCCTATGACTGAGGCAAGGCCTGCTCTTTAACTCCACAACTGGTGGAGCAGCAGAATGATGGGGAGTGTAAAAAGGAAAAGGTATCCCTTGGAAACAGCAAGGTAAAGGGAAAAACAAGCAAAAGAGAAAAATTCAGGGTCTTGCAAAACAAGAAATTAAAAAAAAAAAATCAAAGGATACACAACCTCTCCTTCCCCAGCAATCCTGTAAAAAGTGGTATTTTTCTACAGTGATAGAAAAGTTTTCCTGAACTAGAAAAATCTCAATAGCCAGGCATGGTGGCCATGCCTATAATCGAAGTGACTCAGGAAGCTGAGGCAGAAGGATTCCTTGAGCCCAGGAGTTTGAGGCTGCAGTGAGCTATGATCATGTCACTGTACTCCAGTGTGGGCAACAGAGTGAGGTCTTGTCT